GTGTTTGAGAGAACCGGGCATATCGAATAACAGCAGGTTGTGTATAACTCTCTTAGTTATGTCACCCAGAGAGTTTTGGAAGAATTGGGTTCCGGCTGGTTTGACCTTTGCATAATACACGATATTCTGAAACAAAAACGGCAATGCACATGTCGTTAAATGTACTGTCATCTGGTCTATTCTTATAACGGTCGGTGATGTTAGTCATCCAAATGTCTTCAGATGAACTGCTTTCCAGTTGCTTTATGGGTTTTGTAAGGCGGACTATGTTATCACCTGTGGGAATAAAAGACACTTTGCAGGAAAACTCTTTGAGATGCATTCCAGTCACTCGATAAGCCAGCTTCCTGTGCAGACACCTCACGATTGTTTATGTAAACGCTTCCCAGTTTCTTCATAGCGTCTTTAGCACTCTCGTTGCCTTCCAGCGCTTCCTTTTGTGCATTTCCAAGCAACAAGCCCATTTCTTTCTCACCCTTTGAAATGTAGCTCACAATATAAGCAGCACAAGCATAGCCATCAACCACATACTGAACATCAATATTTGCCTCCCAAATGGACAACAAATCCCGGTTAGCTTGGTTTATCCAGACTTCATCCATTTCTCTTTTTAAAACAATACATGTATGCCCGTCTAAAACTTGATATGCTTCTTCAAAAACATTCTGTGTAATCCCGACTCTTGCTTGCAGTTCTGCTGTAGTCTTTGCAATTTCATTGTGAAGACCATTTTGTAAATCAGACATGATGGTTTGTGCGTGTTCTTTGCCCATCCGAGTTGGATCATCTGGTGGACACACGCACTCTGCCTCTTAATTTTTTCAAATGGCATTTTCGGACAAATGGGTGTTTGCCGTGCTCTTTTGATGAAAGTTCTCTGAGATGGTGGTCGTGGGAATTTAAATCTGCAGACGGTCTTGTTTTTCCGACAAGTTTTTAGAGTGATGTTTCGAGTGGGTCTGTAGAGTTTTAACCATTTCCAATAATTTGGGATCATCTTCTGGAAGCTGGCAGGTAACATGTTTATCTACAAAGGAGATGACTTCTTCGTCTGTATTTTTGATCAATTCTAGGTGCATCTTGTACCCAGAAAAGGGCGTGGATGTGGGCAGAGCCTCTTGCTTGGAACTCTACCCAGTAAAAACAATCGACAATTTTACCAAGGGGATGAGCAGATGACAGGAGAACAAGCCTCAAAAAACAATGCCATCTATAGTCAAACATTTGAGCTGCAACCACAGGGTTCTTCCTCAGAAGGTTACACCGTTCAGCCCAGTTCAAATCTTCAACCGTCTGTGTTCTTCCCTCTTGGATCAAAAGTGCTTTAAGTAAATTTTGCCAGCGAAGGTCAGCTGCACTGAACGAACAGAACCAGGTTGGAATTCCCAATTGACGAATCACTGCAAAAACGTCAGACCTGCATTGTCTCAAAAAGCGGGACTACCCAGTATGGGTGACAAAAAAAACGAAAAAACCACCATTAAACTGAACAATGTGTTTTAAAGTATTACAGTCATTGTCCTGAGATTCAGCTGCGCTGATTCCATCAAAATGTCCTTTACGTGTGGCAATAGACACGCAAGAAATTACATTATACAAAATCAACGTGCCATCAGCATAAAAAAGGTATTCTAGATTGTTAGCAAATCTAGTGTCAGCATTCAAAAGTCTTAATTTGAAATATTTTGCTAATGTGAGTGGATATTTCCTGGGTGTATGATATGTATTTGTACCGGTCACAAAAATGGCAGGAAAACATTTGGCCTCATTGGTGTGATCATTTAGTGTGCTTACTGGGTTGTTTCCTTCAGCTGGAGCAACACTAATGACATTATCCAGATATTGGTCCAGCGTTTCTTGACCCAAGTCTAAAGGCATAGAGCATGTGTCATTGAAAACGCCGTGCTGTTGTTTATCGTACAGATGTTCATCTTGTGTGGCTTCTTGTGAAGGTGGATTTGTACCTTCGACTGTTGGTTCGACTGTTCCCTCTTCGTCTTGTTGTTCCCCTTCTTGTTCTTTGGGGTCTTCTCTACTAAAATCATTTATCCAGTCTTCATTAAACAAGATATCTTCAAAGTGGATGTTATTGTGTTTGAGCCAGACCAAAGCTTCCCTCAAATGCTGAGTATTCACAAACTGATGTTCGTAATGACCTTTGTAAGACAGTTTGCACTTAAGCTTCACTTGCACTAAGCCGGGGGAGCCAGTGCGCGGCAACAGCTTCTCGGAGCGTTGGGCTATTTCGCTTCTTACACACACGATAGGCCCTCTGATTCCTCGCTGTTTTGTCTTAGGCAAAGTCATGTATTTACAAAACATCATGTTTGGTGAAACAAGATGGGTTTCTATACTGTTTAGCCGTGCAAGTTCCTCTGGTACGGGTGGGAGTTCTAAATTGTTACCACCACATTCAGCTGGAATTTTACCTCTAATCATTTTGCTGTTACAGGTGTAGCATATGTTTTAGCTTCCCCCTGTAGTCATGCATAAACACAAGGCATAGGACAAGCTGTGTCACACACATGTACATATGTATCTGAAATACAAAAAATCTAGATCAGACTGGGAAATGTTCACGTAATGTGACCTTTGGCAAGCCATAACACCAGATTGGAAGAAGCGTTTGTGGCACACACAACACACAAACTGTGGTCCAAATTTTATTCTGTCTAAGAAAGTTTCCTTAACATGATCTAAAAGTTTGGATTTTTTTTTTAGTTGTTGTTTTCTGCTTAGACTTCTGGATACAACACGTTGTCTATGTTCTGGGTTGCTATATTTCTGTTTACTTAAAGTTTTCAGGTAATTGTGGTGGTTTTCATCTGTTGCATATTTGTGGTGAATTTTAGCTTTTAGTAGTTCTCGATGGTCAGAATTGGTTAAATATTTCTGTCTGGTTCTAAACCTTACAATTTGTCTGTGGGTTTCATCTGTTTTATATTTATCAAGGCTATGAAATTTTACTTTTTGTCTATGGGCTGAATTTGTCTTATACTTATCAATGCTGTGAGATTTTACATTTTCTCTATGTGCAAGATTTGTCTTATACTTATTAATGCTCTGAGTTTTTACATTTTCTCTATGGGCTGGGTTTGTCTTATACTTATTAATGCTTTGTTGCTGTAAATGTCTTCTATATGTTAAATTTTGAGAGTATCTTTCTATGCCTTTTTTCTGAAGAATTTGTTGGTATTCTGGGTTATTGTGATATTTATGTAACATTTTTGCCAATTTGTTTTTTTGTACTGTGGGAATTAATTTCTGTATTTTTAGTGTTTCATTCATGTTAATTCACCATGTAATGTGGAAGGGGTTCAATGTTCTTGTACATGTGTCATAAAGAGAAGTCAGTGTCTGAACTTTAAAATGTCAATGAGTTTGGGACATGTTATGATGGACTTTGTGATGTATATGAGACATAAAGGGGGAGTGTCTGAACTCTTTAACATATGACTATCTGTGGTTACACTGTCTAGG